TCAATTCTTCCTCCTTACATTCAAAACAATTGAAATTCTTCAAGTTTTCTACCTCAATTGAAATTCAACTTAAATCCAGGAAAAGACATTCTCAGTTCAATTCTGAATGGTGCTCAGCTTTCACCTCTCCTACCTGGCAAATCTTAAAGGGATAGTACATCCAAAAATGAGCATTCTGTCAACATTTACTCACCCTCACCTGTATGAAGAATGTCTCAGAGTTTTGTCCATACAATAAAAGTCAATGGGCACCAAAACCGTTTGGTTCCCAACATTCTTAAAAAATATCTTCTTTTATGTTCAGGTTCAGAACAGCATGAAGGTGAGTAAATGATGACAGATTTTTAATTTTTGGGCGAACCATCCCTTTAAATCAGTGCTTCTCAACTGGTTTGGCCATGGGACCCACATTTTCCCATGGTCATCAAACCGCAACCCACTTTATGATATATAGGGTACAACGGGGCTAAAGGCGCCCCGGGGTAAAACAGTTCACCACCACATTAATAACATAAACATTAGACAAAAGCTAGTTGTTCCTGTGAGGTTATGTTTAAGAATGCACACCATTTAAAACTAGCAATCTGTCCACAGCGTTAGACAAGATGCAAACACGCTTCAACTTAGAGCTGTAAGATAATCACTCGGAATGAACTGAGGAACAAAAGGCGATGACCTCCAGACAAACAACTCAGAAATGGTCAAGCCAGAACTAGCTGTTTGCGGAGGTTTCAGACAGTTCAGCCTGTTTGGAATGTTTGTCTATCAGTCAAGCAGGGTATTTGCTTTTAAGCAAGTATCTGTGTGCACGCTTGAAGAGCCATTCAAAATCGGTTCTCAGTTTAAGCATCCAGGAAATCCTGGATCCAGGAATTTAAAGACTGCTAAACCACTTTTCAAACATCCCTGCATGCTCTTTACCCAATTGATTTGTCATATTGCCGTTTAGCTCAATCAGTGGGGCAAAATCGTATGTGTTCAGTGGGCCAGAAAGGGGTCAAAGCCAATTTGGTGCCTAAAGGACTGCAGGATTACACATTAAAGTGTGAAGTAACTTACACCAGGAAAGCATAAGGAATACCTCATTCATTAACAGAGCATGAATAGACAGGCTCTGCTCACCACAAACGATAACTGTAGAAATAAAATCCAACAGTAAATAAAAAGGTTTGTGACTACTAGCAACAGAGAATATCAGTTCTATGAAGTGTTTCATGCATGTTTCCATGTACAAATCTGCAGGATTAGGGTTCAACTTCAGTTACAGGTGCATTGAGAAATTATAAAACAGGCCAAGTATTAAATGACCAGCTGTAAAAGTAAAGATGGTCTGTGAACATTAGAAAAACAACCTAATGAGGTTTAAAATGGGGAGGACCCCCATGCGCCTTGAGGTCATGAAGCCCAGGGCTTTATCCTCTGAAGATCATGACTATCGTACTGAAAGACATTGTGGGTGGCATGAAAGCACCAGAATGAACATCAATTACTAGCGACGCTCACCCTACTAACTAATCCATCTTAATTGTAGTAATACTGTATTCCTTCCACACATTATTACATTTATTTGGAGGTTAACTGACAAAATAAAATCCCTAAACAAGATAACTAAGGCAAATATTCAAATATTTTTAACCATCTATCTTGCAGAGACTGTAGTTAATTACCAAATTGTTCAATGTTAAAATTTATTTCCCTCCCATTACTTTCTATTTGCTCTCCAGATAAATTGTAGCTATGTTAAATATTTTCTTTTAAACCCAATCAAACAAGCAAAATTTGTGCCATTTCTCTGTTCAGTCGATTCTATTCTTGAGTTGCCCTACATTTCGATTGCTTAGAGGCAGACTACTTGCAATGCAAGGAATTTGAGCCCCAGGGCACGAGTGATATGTTTAGATGTGGTGTTGTACCTTATTTCAGAATGTGCTGCTGAATGGAAAGGGTGAGCGCTATTGCACTGGCTCTCATTAATCATTATACAGTATTCATTGCAAGGCCTCTTCACAGCAGAAACGCACAAACTGCTGTTGTCTACTAGTGTCTGCTAAGACGAAATTAACACTCTTGAGAAGTCCCCGCATCTGTCATATCATCTACTGTTTTAGTTCAGTTGTATTCAACACTCTGTTTTCAAAACGCTGAAGGCTGAAGTAGTAGAGTCATAAATAATGATAGAAAAACTTTAGACCACCTGCCAAATAACTCTCCACAGGCTCTTCAAATTACATTTACATGTTCAACCTAATGTCACACAACAATAATTACATAAACATGTTCAACTTCATGTCACTGTTACACACAACAAATGGTTAGTTTCTGCCACCATAACAATATTTGGGCCCAATAAAGTTTTATGTTATTAAAAAAAAGTCTCTTGTGCTCACCAAGGCTGCATTTATTTTTTATCAAAAATACAGATAAAACTGTAATTTTGTGAAATATTATTACAACATGAAAATAACAGTTTTCTGTTTGAATATATTTTAAAATGTAATTTATTCCTGTGTTAGCAACGCTTAATTTTTTATCAGTCATTACTCCAGTGTTTAGTGTCACATGATTCTTCAGAAATCATCCTAATATGCTGACTTGGTTCTCAAGAAGCATTTCTTATTATTATCAAAGTTGTAAAAAGTTGTGCTACTTAACATTCTTGTGGAAACCGTGCTAAAAAAAATTCAGGATTCAAAGGAACAGCACTGATTTGTAATAGAAATCTTTTGTAACATTATACATGTCTTTCCAGTAACTTTTGATAAATTTAAAGCAACCTTGCTGAATAAATGTAATTCTTCCGAACAAAAGTTATACTGACCCCATACTTTTAAACGGTAATGTGTACCTTCACTTTCCTTCATTGTCATCAAACAAAGGGTTAAAAAGTTAACACAAAACACATAATTAGCAATCTGAAGAAAGCTGTATTACAGAATTAAATCTCTTATGAATATTTCTGTATCACTTCCTATGAAGCCCATTTTTATAACACATTACAAGGGTATTCTTAAGGCATTATAATGAATGCATAATGCATTATAAAACTTATAATATGTTGTTTCATCTCATAGATAATTATAACAACAATTATAATACTTCATAAAACTTACTTATTTGTGGTTATAACTTTTATGATTATTTATAACACCCAATAAACACCATGTTAAATCCACTTAATTTATAATGGATTATAAGTCTCATATCTTGACATTATTTAAGATCTTTACAGTATCTTACTATCTTACTGATATTGCAATAAGTATAGTTAAAAATAAATGTGCCATATTACACATTCATCTGATCAGATATCTGATCTTATCTTATAAGAAAAAATATAATTTTTTATTTTTATTATTATTGATGTTGTTATTATTTATAAGTGGTCTTTGTCTGCTTTAAGTAAAAGTAACAAGTTAACAATGGCAAGATATGAGAGTTCTAATACATTATATCTATGGGAAATATAATCCATTGTTAGTTAAGTTGATGCATTGTGTTCATTGTGTATTATAAATCATAATCTTAAAGGCTATAACCACAAATAAGTCAATATTATAATGCATTAAAACTGTTTTATTTTAATTATAATATAAAATAATTATAATTATTTTTAAATAATTACTCATGAGATGATATATTATAACATATTATAAGTTTTTTTATAATACATTATGCATTCATTATAATGCCTTAAGAATACTCTTATAATGTAGTATAAATACGGGCTTCATAGAAAGTCTTACCAATATTTCTAATACACCAAGAAACCAAAACATTTTGTATACCCAGTTTTGACTGGGTTTAACCATTCACTTGTTATCTTAACTAGTGCTTTGATTTTGCTAACAACTTCTGAAAAGAGTTTGGAGTCATAATTACTACTTAAATCCTCTCTTTTTCCATATCAGGACTCTATGGCTCCTTGTCCAGGTGTTTTGGCTGACTTTTCTTTTGAACTCCAAAGAGCCTCTTCCTGACTCCCTCCAGCATGTCTCCACCTGTCCATGACTGTCTTCCCAACCCTCTCCCCCTTTTCCCCACAAAGCCTCTTGAATCCCATGAGGAGCCATGTTATAGGGAACAATGCACACATACCATTCACTTCCATTCCCAGTTCTCAAGGAGTGAAGGAAGAAATCCTGCTGCTGTGTTTACACTACTTTTAATTACTGTCATTACACAATAGCAGCGACAGAGATGTGTCATTACTCTCCATTAAACCACGAAGGAAACCTGTTGTGCACCACAGTTCCATGAAGGTTGTGTTCTACAAGAAAGTGTTTCTGTGCACTTACAATGTCACTATTCCTGCAAGTAATCATGGATGAATTTCAAAATTACACACGTTAACATCCAAACCATTAGTTCTGCAGAAGGAACAACAAAAGGCCAGTCTCATCATTCACAACCACAAAACGCATGGGAATCTGAGAGTTGCCTTGCAATTTGCACTGAGCTGTAGAAGAGACACCTGAATATAAGGTTTCTTTCCATTTCTCAAGATACATAATCTAGACCAGGGGTTCTCAACTCTGGCTGGCCCTCGAGATCCACGTTCCTGCAGAGTTTACCTCCAACCTTGATCAAACTCAACTGCCAGTAACTTTCTAGCAATCCTGAAGACCTTGATTAGTTTGTTCAGGTGTGTTTGATTAGGGTTGGAGCTAAACTCTGCAGGACAGTGGACCTTGAGGGCCAGAGTTGAGAAGAACCCCTGATTCTAGACCATCTCATCCTCTTTACCATTCACAAAGTCAGCACAAGTTCATTATTTATAAGGCACTTCTCCTCAAATACATCTGTAGTGACTGTGAGACCTATTCTGACTGATATCAGGTGAATCCTTTCGATGCCAGTGCTGATAATGGGCCTCTAAATAATTAACAACACAATGTCTTGCATAAATGGGCCAGGATTATTGGTTAAATCCCCAGATCTCAACACAAGTACATTAACCAGATTAAAAGGAAATGAAAATAAGAAGAGGAATGGATACGTACCGCAAACAATGAGCCTTGATGGACACATGCACCTGTGGATGAAGAAAATGAGGTGAACAAGAGTGGAAAAGGATCAATACATCAGCTTTCACTTGCAGGCTAATTGACAAGTTCATGACTAGGCTACTTGTGGACAAATGTCACAGTCATGGCAATCATGTGTTCGGCAATGTCTTGGACATTCATAAATGCCCTTGTTGTTGCCCAATGTGAAAGAACACAAAAGATTGTCACAAGGTTCATTAATGAAATTTAACGGTTGACCCTCAAAGGCTGTAAAGAGAAAAGGATGTCAGCATGTTATAATCTTGCTCGGTTTTAGAGGTTTGACAATAATTTACCATGTTAACACAAATACAAAATGGAAAAATGACTGAAAGACCCTTAACTGTTTAAGTACATTTTTATGCAGCTAAACAGTATTATTTAAAGATAATTTAAAAACCAGACAAACAAATCAGAAAACAAACGCATTTAAGACTATAAAAACTGCATTAGATAGCAAGCAGGTAATCGTGAAAACATGGTCCAGAAACTCTTGTGAAGATGAAGTTAACTGTGTTATGATGTATGATGAAGTTTTACTTCTCAAAGAAAGCATGCTTCCCTCAGGAAATACATATCTTTAGAAACAATGGCAATGATGTTTACTGTCAAACTACTTATAATAATAACCACTAGCTAGTGAGTTATAGCGAATTTATGCAAATGTATCAAGCTGATGTGGGAAGATCAAGATAACAGATAGCTACGGGATGCGGGCGCCGTTTCATAAACAACAGGACTAGTCTGAGACATCATAGTCATACAGTTATTTAATATTATAGGACTCTCTATTGCGCATTGCTTTTTATCTCATATTTCTACGCGTACCTACAAACTGATTTATGCAGATTTGTAAATCTATTTTATTGCAACTAACAGTTGAAAAAAAAAAACATGCGCACTTATCTGCGAGTTGTATCTATATTAGGCAACATATTTACCAATTAATTCAGAAAAATAACGATAAAAGAAACACCAACCTTGTGCTCCGGGCAAGCTAGTGCTGTATCCAATTAAAACGGTTAGAAGGATCCAAACAGGACCCATATTCACTTTAGAAACTGTGTTAATCCAAAATGCTCAGAAATACAATGGCTTTAACTTGAATGTGAATTAGTGCTTATCATCGCTGCTCTCCTGCGGACTCAAATCAATCACCAGCGCCTGAGCTTGAAGTCTAGCTGACGGTCGGTATCGTTACTGGGAAGCATCCAGTCCGACTCCGAGCAGATACAGTCCAGTGCGCTCTCCAGCGAAACTTCCTCAGAGAGAGCGGTTCCCACACGAAAATCCTTCCTCTTAAAAGTACAGGGCCATTGCAAAGACAACTTGAACACGACTAATTACAGAGGAACACGCACTAACAGCCACTGAGAGTACGAGCCGCTCTTTAAAGTGAGTTATTGGAGACACGAGCAGCTGCATTCACGAGTTGAGGAGCCCCTCCTCCCCCTCTACCACTGTGGGAACAAAACCTGTGGCCATCAAAGTTTGGACGGGTATTAGATTTTGAGGTAGTCCTCTGTGAACGCTATGACGAGCCAAACTAACGTTCTTGCGATTTCTTTAGGTTATTGCATTTTTTGTTTAAAAATGCATTCCAAACTTGGAGGAATCATGCAAATTATATTTCTACAACGTTGTGCGTGCACTTCAATTATTATTTAAAAATTATTTAGAGACTACTTAAAACAGTCAAAGGTCAAAGATTCCTGGGTCACGTGCAGCAGCGCAATCCGATCCTTGCTCGGTGCTCATTCAAGGACAAAAACAGAAAAACCTTAAACTTAAATAAATTCAGACCTTTTAAACCATGCTATATTTTCAAATGTTGTTTTAAAAATCTCTTCACATACAGTAAGCATTTCTATAAAATCATGATTGTTCTCTTCCTAAGATACCAATGCTTCTTGTAATTAAATACTTAAATATTTACATACATAGCTATTGTAGCAAACCTGTCTTTGTTCTTCTTTGACCTTAACAAGGATATTTTGAAAAAGACGAAAATGAAGACAAAACGTACTGCATTGCCATACAATCTGAGCTTAAATTAGTTTATAAAAAGTGAGTTTCTACTGCCACCTGCTGTTATAGGTAGGTGATGACAGGGCAAGAAAAAAAGATAGAAAGACAGAAGGCCTCAGCCACACAATGCATTTTCACACTGAAAAACGTATTCTTCTCTTCATTTATCATCTTCTCTAGCTTGTTTCCAAATCTAGTTTTCTAAACCTGGCATTGTATATTATGAATATCGTTGGCTCTTTGATGAACTGGTTTTGTTCTTCTTTTATAAATTGGTTTGGACAAATTGGTTATGCTAAATGCATAACTGTAAATGTAAATAGTGTAGATACAGGGGTAATAGTGTTAAGGCAACATTTGTAACCATATGCAATTAGTTTTTGGCATTCCATACCATCACAAATTGATCTCCATTATGATGCTTAATGTGGGCTGAAATCCTTTGCAACAGGGCATCCTTATTGACCACAATGGGCCATTAACCGTGTTGCTTCCATACCTAAAGCATGCTACTGTATAAACTGACTTCAGAATAAAATCACACAGTTAGACTATTTTATTACAGTCTAAATGTTTTGTACAATGCAAATATATACAAAGCAAAAATGTCATGCCTTTTTCTCTTCCCGTGGTAATAATTCTTCGATTTTAATTTGCAAACCCTCACTTGGCCTACTGCAGACAATTGCTCGCTCAATAAAAGGACCTGGAAGAAAAAGGCAAAGACACAATACATTTTATTCAAGTCAAAGAATATAAAAAGGTACTTCCACCTAACAGCCAATGTTAAATCTGCTTTTAGAGAACATGGACATGCTAATACAGTCGTGGTCAGAATTATTAATCATTTTGATCTTTTATTTTTTTTTTAATCACAAATATCTAACCTTTCATTGAACTAAAACAATTGAAAATGGGGGAAAATCTCATTATGAAATAAATGTTTTTCTCAAATACACGTTGGACACAATTATTGGTACCCCTAGAAATTCTTATGAGTAAAATATCTGTGAAGTATATTCCCATTCATATTTACAATTTTGAGCATACCAGGGTGATTATGAACATGAAATTATCCAGCCATGGCTTCCTGTTTCACAGGAATATAAATAGGAGGGAAAACAAAGGCCAAATGCCCTTACTCATCCATCACAATGAGAAAAAACAAA